ACGAATGTAAAGAAATAGTAATTCTCATCGAAACATTATTAAGTGAATAAAGATACTAACAAAATTTATAATATAATATAGCATTTAATGTGATAGATTCTTTAAAATTGAATCATGTAGACAAAAAAATTGACGTATATACGAAAGACTTGTCTTAATCGATTGGAATAATATATAATCTTAAAACTATTTACCATGAATAATCAAAGTGCGGCAAACACTTATATAAAATTTTGTAACCTACTAAAAAAAATGGGAAAATAAGCCTAATAGTAGCTTTGCCAAATTAAAGGATGGGCCAATGGCGTTCATACTTCATACAACTATAATGTTGCAGTCAAACTTCCTTGAATCCCATTTTGCATTTCTAATTTCTTTATAGTCTCATTTATTCCGCGAATTTGTATATGTACCTGTATGCTTTGTATTTTCCACTCAAACAACGTAACTGGATAATTCCACTATATATTTTTGCCTATTTTTCAACAGTTGCACAAGTGCACATGATTTGGCCTCAACTAAGTGGCTAAATTTTGTCACTTCTATATAACAAAAAAAAAATCATATATCAAATTGTGTTAATGATACAAATAAATAAATAGAAAATTAAAAAAAAAAATTATAGAAAACTATATAATAAAATATTCGTATTATAAAAGTTATTGAATAATAAAATAAATAATTGTAAATAAAAAATGTAAGCAACCCCGTTTCGATGAATTATGTATGATCGAAGTTGGATTCGTGAAAATACTCTGCAAGAAAAACATAAAACATATAACATGTTATTATTTAACTAAATAGAAATATGAAATGGAGTTAAAAACATATATAAAAAATTACGAAAACATAAACAAAAAATATAAATGTAATGTACATTTACACTACAAAAAAAAATTAATTTTTTTTTGAAATGCACAAAAAATATAAACAAAAAAAAATTAAATTCAATGTAATGTACATTATACTATGTGTAGAAAAGGGTTGGGGTAGTGTGAATAAAATGAATGTGGGATTATATAGTTTTGATTATGATATATCGTTTAGGAAATTTTATGAATTCAAATTTCAAATTAATTGGTCATGGGCGGCAATAAAAGTGAAACAAAAAAATAATAAAAAAATATGATCAAAAGTCCTCACATTTCGGATTTTAGTAATGGAATATTAACAAAATCATTAAATACAATACATAACTGAATATACATATACCATATACCATATTGGTTCCAAAACTCAACTCAAATCAAAATCGGATACCATAACTGAATATACACATGGCCCATATGCCACTGATTGAAAAAAAAAGTTACCAAAATTGGATAACTAAAAGAAATCATCATAAATAAGTAATCATTCAAAGTCTAAATTAATTGGGAGAGTATTTTGGCAACATATTAAAAGGAAAACTTAAATATTCAAATTATATAAAATTTGAAATCCGGATAATTGATTAATTTGTTACATTAAAATATAAAAATGCATAAGATAGTAGTAGAACTAATTTTATCAGAAATTAAATAAAAGAAAATTAATAGTATGTATATTTAAATAGTTATTGCATTACAATAATTATTAGATGATATTAATTTTAATATGAAATTTCAAATGTCTAATTTACTTTCGGATTTTGAATTTTTACGTGATTTTATTTTATTACACGAATTATTTTCATTCTAAAATATTGGAAGACTTGAAAAAATATAATAGAACTAATTATATCAGAAATTAAAAAATAAATTAGAATAAAAGAAATTAGTTTTATTAATTAAATAATTCATGAAACATTAAATGGAAGAAACGTGCACAATATATATTATAAAATATGGAAATGACTCAGACATACTAATAGATATCATGCAAAATATGAAAACCATGCATAGTTTATATTATGCAGTTCAATTATATTATCAAAAAATCTCGCAATAAACTCAACTTATTATGATATTATCATATACTGAAATGATAAAAACTTATGATATTATGGTATTTAATATACATATTATAGAGAAATTATTTATATAATAAATGCATATCCAAATTTTAGAAAAATTTCAAAATATATGAAATATACATACATTTGTTTTTGTATTTTAATAATAAAAATATAAATTTCATAATATATAAAGATTATTTTTTTCAATTTGGTTTAAACATTTAAGTCTATAAATATACTATATTTGCAAGAATTAAAATAAATGAAAATTAATATGATATCAAAATACATGGAATGATGTTAATGTAAATTTTTAATTATAAAAATACTATATTTTCAAGGAACATACAATGCAAGATCCAGAGCGTGGAACGACTTTGATTGATTCCCTACATGAGACGCACATACATGGATCGAAATTAGGATCAAAATACGCGTTGCAAAGAACACATTGTTTGAAATGAGCGCAAACAATTTTTTTGATCTTCATAAAGTATGAACGACTTTATTTAATAAACTGCATGAAAACAATTAAAAAAGTATATTAAAATTAAAACTCAAAAGAAAGAAATACAAATAGTACTAATATGTATATATAAAAATAATTATAAAAAAATGTAATATGAAACTGTATAATACGAACATTGTGCACTTTGTAATCGAATGGTGGTAGATAAAAATGAAATGAACATAGAGGGATATATATAGTACTGAAAATGAACTTAATTCTATGGGAAAATTAAAAATTCAAAAGATTTATATATTAGTAAATCAAATCAAATCAAACAAATAAAGGAAACAACCCAAAAAAATAAAATAATAACTTGTGGAAAAAATCTTGCAATATAAAAACATTAAATATGGAGATACGATTTTTATTTTTTACCATTCAATTTTGAATTAAAGTGTAAATTAAATCAATCAAATATGATATGAAGGAATCTTGGAATATTAAATATTCCCTTGTATTGGTGATTTGATATTTAATTTGAAATAGTAATTGACAAATATAATGCATAATCCGGTTTATAGTTCGAAACATATTATATAATAAATAGTGTTTTCGAAATATACTTTAAAATTACTGCATTTAGAAAACAATTTCTTGTCCTAACAATTGCGGGCTGGAGATCACAAAAAATTTAGAAAACAACAAATATGCTTTAAATTGTTAAAATATACTGCATTTAAAGTATTAAATTTTCAAATTTCAAAATATTGCATATTTATTAAATAGTATAATTATTTTTAATTTGAAATATGGTATAATAAAAATTATATACAAAAAATATTGTATATTTATTAAATAGTTCAATTAAAAAATAAAACATTTTTTTATTATTATTTTTAATGGATGGATATTCGAATATTCTAAAATATTGAAAAAAAAATTTAAAAAAAAAAAGAAAAAAGAAAACAACAACAACATATTCCTATATTTTAATATTTTAGTATTTAAAAAAAATATAATTTTTATGAAAATTATTTGAATATTCGTATAAAAATTGAGTTTCATGAATTTTTTTCAATAAATATATTTTGAAATACTGAAAATATAAATAAGATTTTTTTATTTCGAATTTATAAAAATATTAACTTTGGAAATAATATATATACATGTGGTAATTATTTAATGATTGTGTAAATGTAAAATAGGAAAAAACTTAAAAACATCCATAAATAAAAATGCCACCTAATCAATTGAAGAATCCACCTCATCAATTGAACTCCAACTAAGCAATTTTGACAAATGACATCATCATTTGCCACATGTCAATCATTGAGGGCATAGATCCTCTTTTTATATTATATATAGATTGAGTAACGCAAAATTGTACTGACATATAATTATTTTTCACGTAATTAGAGGTGGATCCTTTGACCCCATATTTTTTTTTGAATATTATATATTTTTACATATACTAGCATCTTTCCCCGTGCGATGCACGGGATATTATATCAAAAGGTGAAAAAATATCAATAGATTAATAATTGTTGAAAACTATAGTTTAGAAATTAGTAGAGAAAAATATTAAAAATAAATAATTACAGAAGTACCATTATGGTAGAATTCTTCACGGATTAGTTTCAATTTTGATAATTGTTAAAAATTATAGTTGAAAATTAGTAGTATTAAAAAAATGAAAAATAAATAATTACCATTATGGTAGGATTCTTCACGGATTAGTTTCAATTTTGATAATTGTTAAAAATTATAGTTGAAAATTAGTAGTATTAAAAAAATTAAAAATAAATAATTACAAAAATATTATTAGGGTTTTTCTAGGGTTGCCCAGCGTTTCTTTCTTTTATATATAAGATATGCAATACGAAATGTTATAAGTTTGAATACATGTCTTAAATCCTCCCGTCTAAATACAGTACATCATAAGATATAGTTGAACAAAATTCAAATAATCAATAAGCATGTATAGTTCAATAAAAGAATGTAACAATTACATATTATTGTGCACCATTTTGATGGAAATTTTTGTGACATAGATCATCTCTTTAGCATGAATTTGAGATCGAGATCGATACATACTGGATTGCCTTATAGATCCAAACAATAAAAGCCTACAAAGTCAAGGTCCACTCCCGCCTGACCCACTAATACACGTATATTAATTATAGGCAGCAGATGTGACTGTATTCGTTGCATAGACAAAGGAAGATGAAAAACTTGTAAAATGAAATGGACTATGAAAATGCCGACTTATGATTTAAAAGGAAGCGATCACATTCTCGAGTCTTCCTCATTTGAATGGACTGAACTCACAAAGAACATGACAGCTCGCATTCCGCAAACAAACATCCCGAAACAATCATATTACACCCATGTGTAAATATAACCAGAGACAGAGAGGGAGCTCACCTCCATACGACATGTATAAATACACCCGTGAGATACAAAGGGAAGGTGGGACTAAGATTTCGAGTTCATCTTAATTTCGTTACATCAATTTAAATAAGTTTAAAGTAAATATTGTTTCAAATAAATATTTAATCATGTAAAACGTGTTTGGGAAACTGGGATTAACGGCCACGTGCTTCACACTGTCAGAAAAGGAAAAGAAGACGCTAAAAAACAAAAGTAAATTAATTACGATGATCAACAAAGAAGCGCTCCCACCTAACTAGCGCTTTTAATTCTGTACTCTCGCCTCTCTCTCTACACTCTTCTCCGCTCTCCGAATCCGAAGCCGCAGAAAAGCTTGGCCGAAAAAGCCGCACAACTACACGCATTTCTAGAGAGAGAAAGAGGAGCGAGAAGGAAAAAAAACGGTTATGGAGTCAACACTGCTTTCGGTTGGTGCTTCTACAATGTCGATTGCGGCACTCTCCAGGTCTCTCAATTCCCATTCTACCCCTATCATCGCCCACCTCCACCGCCGCTTCTCCACCACTCTCCCGAGTCAAATCGCTCTCCTCCAACTCAGTCGGCGCGTCGAGCTGAGACGGTTCGGGCCGGGTCATTTGGTTCGGGGACATGACTCTGTGGACCTGCGCCGGAACCGGTTGCAGTTTTCTGTGAGGTCTGCGTCGTCCGGCGGCGGAGGGTTTGATGGCATCGATGGCGGTGCCGGTGGAGGTGGCGGCGGCGGAGATGGCGCGGCTGAAGGCGGCGACGCTAAGGCAAGCGCCGTGACTTCCGGGGCTGCGGGTGCTTCTCCATTGAGTTCTGAAGTAATCATTCTCGATGTTGGAGTAAGCACTTCACTCAAACTTAGTTTCTTATTACTGCTATTTTTGCTTTGCGTTCTCTTTTCTCAATATTATTATTTAATTAATTAAAATATTTGCTGTTGACCCCAAAAAAAATTCGTTGTTCTTCTGGCTTATGATTGGCTTTGAAGTGAGTACTGGCTTATTCTTGATTATATATGTATAAAAACTTGTATGTTTTTCCCTTTTTTTTTGAAATTTTATTTTCGTGTTCAAATAATTAACTTCTCTGTTGTTGCAGGGGATGACATGTGGGGGATGCGCAGCAAGCGTGAAAAGAATTTTAGAAAGTCAAGTAAGTGCTTATACTTTAGGGTGCATCTATATTTCATTCCACACACCTTGTTGATTTGTGCTTCTCATGTTATTTTATTTTTTATTATCCGTGGAGTATCTGAGAAGGAAAGAAGTTAAATACTCGAAAATTAAAAATCCCACGTGTTATATAGCTTGTGCTTATTGTTCTTAAGCAAGAAAAAAGTTTCTTCTTGTTGATCTATTAAATTTGAAATGGAGATTCTGCCGTTCCTTGTGCAACTCCTGTAGTGTCTTTCTTGTATTTTTTATTAAATACTAATGGCCGACATAAGGTAGCGATAAAATTCTTGCACTCAGCATGAGATTTTAAAATGTTTTCTTCCCGATATTCCAATTTTCCTATACTAGTGGTAATGCAGTCAACCTAGTAAACCATAAATTATGTTTGGATAACCAATCTTAACTTTAAAAGTTAGTGTTGATTTGCCTGAGATAGAAATATTTATGGGAGGATAATTAGCTGAGAAACTTCGTGGTTTTTAATGATATGGATAAACTTGGAAGTTTCTTTTGCAAGAAGTTTTTACTCAAAAAAAAAATGATTAATAGTTAAACTGTTAAAATTATGAACAGCCGCAGGTCTCTTCAGCTAGTGTAAATCTCACTACCGAGACAGCAATTGTATGGCCTTCATCTGAAGCCAAGGTTGTACCTAACTGGCGAGAGGATATAGGAGAGGCCCTCGCGAAGCATTTGACTAATTGCGGTTTCAAATCCAATCTCAGAGGTCTGCATTTTTGTATCTATTAATTGGATATTTAATTACTTCACAGTTCTTTGCACTTATAATCATGCAATGTTTGTCCTTCGTTCTCATGCGACTATGTTATGAACATTGATGAGTTGATGATTGTAACTTGGTGCTCTTTGTTGTTGATAGATTACTGCAACGAGAAACTTAATTGCTCTTGATCCCATGAAAATTTTGGTTTGACTTAATTGTTTAGGGTTGTTGGCAATCTTACCTTATCCGTATGTTGCAACACTAGAGTGATGCACGGGCAACCTATTCTAGTGGTTGCTCGTCCGATTCATTGATAGATACTCGTATTCAATGTTAGATAAGTCTGTTAGTGAATGGTTGATAATAACAAGAATTCTTGCATACCATCTCTGGTGGCCCGCTTGTTCTAGTTTTACAATGAGAACGGTGGTAAAAGTAGCCGATGGTCGTTTTGTGCTTCTGCTCTCCAAAATCAGGCTCTTAGAAGATAATTAAATATGGTATTGGTTTTTTCAAGCCATAATAAAATGAATGGGCAAATGGAGAATTTGTAAATTGCAGTTTTAACTAACAGCACTCGGGTCTAACTGTAAGCTGTTTTTAATCTTGTTTTTACAAGAATGCTGTTCTTATACAATTCATCTTTTATCTTGAAGTACTCTTTTTTTCTCTTCATGTTTTCCAATGCTGGGCAATATAAGGCGTAATAAACTAGTGTTTGCGAGGGATAAAAACAGCTAATTAATGTAAGGTGGCAATGACGAAAGGAATATGCTTAACGTTTTGTATTGTATTACGTACAACCATCCGTAGAACTTAAAAAAGAAATATAACTATGGTATCCATCTTTGTAAGAACACTTGTTTTATTATATGCTAAAAAATGGAAACATAGTACCTAGATTTTTGAGTCAGACAAAACAAAAATTACATTTGGCCTTCGTATAACTTATGCATAGCTTCTTGGGAAATTGGCAGATCAGGAAGCTATTGAAGGGGATATTCAGTTGTAGGGTGCAACAGATTCTTGTAAAGACAACCATTCTCCTTCATGGTATGTCCTAGCTCTATACATGTTCAGTAGCATCTTTCTAGTCCAAGTTTGACCTTCTTGTCAGTCCCAAATATTCTAATCACATAGTTTTTTCATCAATAGGTGTGTCTCTTCGGCTTCTAGTGGTGGATTTGTTGAAGGCTGGCATTTCTATCCTGTTGAGCGGATTTACTATTAAAATATTGTTGTTCCTAAACTTAAGTTTAGATTGACTTCCTTTGTCCAAAAGGATTAATGTATAAGCTTTTGCAAGGGAGACTGTTAGGGAAAATAATGGTTGTTTTAGCTGTGTAATGAACAATCTTTTTGTAGGCGAAGCTTCCTTTTGTTTGTATTTTGCATTGCAAAATATGTATCAGAGTTTGTATTCACCAAATTCCTATAAAATTTAGTAATGGAGAAACATAATAAATTCGTAACACGGTATGATGGTATATTGATTCTCTTGAGATTCTTGTTTGATTCTCTTGAATTTTCTAATGAAATCTGAGCTCTGGATATATCTGCAAATGATTCATGCTATTTCATTCCCTTACTATGAGTTCTTTAAATCTATATTTGAGCCACAGAATTAACTTTGATAGCATTTCTACTTTAGAATCTCTTAGTGCATCAATATACAATTTGGTTTGCAGAGCACCGTTGGTCAGATATTCGTTGAGATAAATCTTGCAAAACTTATGCATCTGGAGGGACCACATGTTAATAGTTAGATCAACTTGAGATCTTGTAGAAGACTGTTTTGGTTTTTCTCTATTGCTTAGAAGATCCAGGTTATCATCTTGACACAATATATTATTAAGAAATTAGTGATCAAGTTTGGAACAGACTACAGTTTTACTCATAATTGAGAATGCGATTCGACTGAAATGTGGCTGGCCATGAGCACATATGGAAATGTTTGACTTTTTGGTTGTTTGACTTTTTGGTTAATTCGATCTTACTGTCAAATTTGTGTTGCTTTTTTCCATAAAGTAGGGAAACGATCTTTTCCATTTTTAAAACCGTGTGGCCTCTTTCATTTGGTTGGTGTCAGCTGTGTAAATGTAAAAATTCATATACATTCCCAAAGACCCGAACTGAGTGCGGATGCAGTTTTAGGTGTTTAGAATAGAAATCCAGCGCGCAACCTCATCATTTACTTTTTTGTGGTCATCAACTCTTAGGATGTTAGATTATATAAATGAAATCCCAGCTGACTCAGAAAAAAATGAAGTGCGTGTTCAGTAGTATTTTGTACTCGTGGTATGTTGTGAGGGTTTATAGATAACCGAATATGTAGAACTGACAGTTTTTTGCAATTGTGCACATTTTGTATTATGAGTAAATTGTATCCTAAAGATCGAGTCTAGTAAGTAAATAGTTTTAATGATAGTGATGTTTCAAGAAATTTGAATTGGGAAATCGTTTACACGTACAGTATCTGGATGACAATGGAGTACCAGGACTTCCAGATGACATTTAAATTTTCTTGTTATGTGGTGAGCGGAACATCCAATTTTTTTGGACTCTGTATAGAGACAGCCTTTTATCTTTCCATTGATGTGCATATACTTTCCTTCTTCGAGGAGGTGCTCTTAATGTTGTTGTGAAAGCACAAGCCCCCCAGTGGTTTGTTGGAAAAAGCCTAGCCTAGTGTTTATAATGCTTTTCTGGCTGGCTACTTTCATCAAGGTTGCCTATTCATTAATTATCTTTCAAATTCTACTCACCAACTTAGATGTAGTAAAGCTTTTTCAATAGTCTAATGTTAGTGGTCCCAAACATACTTCGTCCTCTGTAGACGAGCATTTGAGATACCGAACAGACTCTGCTACCTAGGGCAGTACATGATTGAACATTGCTTATTTTTTGTGATTTATACAACTTTAAACTCAACACTTTTTCTACAGCTAACTTTTGGGTTGTGTATTTGTATTATTAATATCCAGTGTTCGTTTTGTTGGCAGATTTAAGAAGGGTGAACTTCTACGAGAATTTTGAGAAGAAAATAAATGAGAAGCGTGAGCTGCTAAAGAAAAGTGGTAATATTTTCTTGCCCCTGTATATTACTATAAATATTATTCGGAAAATGGGATTGCTGATAAAAAAATGGGAATAGAAAGAAAGAGATACGGTGGAACTCAACATAGAAAAATTACAAGTGTGTTGGTATATCTTAGACCTGCATTTCCCTGAAATGTTATGCTTTTGCATAATGTCAATTACAACATGCAGTTAGTTAAAAAATCTGATAATATATGCTCAAAATGTATGTTTTGGTGGAAATGTTGACAGGATAGAGAAAAGTGATACCATTGTGAATGTTATGAATATGAAGCAAGTTCTGTTGTATGTAAATGGTATTAATAACTAATGTATATAAAATTTATATAGTTAACCATGCCTCTGATTTTTAGGAAGATTTTTAATTTACTTCTTCTGGAAACTTAAGACGTTTGAGTTTGATGACACGTGATTTAAATCATTTGTTGCATTTAAGGCCAATATGTTGGCACATCACATGATGGTAAATTTGCTATTAACAGGTCGTGGACTTATTGTTTCTTGGACTCTCTGTGCTGTGTGCATCTTTGGCCATCTCTCTCATTTCGTTGGAGCCAAGGCTGCATGGATCCATGCATTGCACTCCACAGGATTCCATGTGTCTTTGTCTCTCTTTACATTGCTTGGCCCCGGCCGCCAACTTATTGTGGATGGTATGAAAAGTCTTCTCAGAGGGGCCCCAAACATGAATACTTTGGTTGGCCTTGGGGCTTTATCATCCTTTGCTGTCAGTTCCTTGGCAGCCTTAATGCCAAAACTGGTAATTTGTTAACTAAACTTCCTACACGGCGTTTTGGTTGGACGTTAATAGAAACATCGCAAGCAATACCTAATTTTATCCAAAGCATATAACTTTCTTGATAATTATTAGGGATGGCTATACAGATATATTGTCTGGTTGGTTTCCGAAGCTGCGTTCTGGTAATTAAACTTCTGTTTGCACAGGGATGGAAAATGTTCTTTGAAGAACCGGTTATGTTGATAGCGTTTGTCTTACTTGGGAGAAATCTAGAACAGAGAGCCAAGATAAGAGCAACCAGTGATATGACTGGCCTTCTCAGTATTTTGCCATCAAAAGCTCGTCTGTTGATTAATGGCAATGCAGAAGAATTGAGCTCAACTGTTGAAGTACCTTCAAGCAGTCTCATTGTAGGAGATCAAATCATTGTCCTGCCTGGTGTAAGTATTGCCTACTGTCTTTTTAACAACCTTGTAGTCACCCTTATTTTTTCATGGAGCTCATTAAATGCGGATATCTGTTTGCGAATGAGAAGCTCTTTCTTTAGGTCGTCATACTTCTATTGAAACAATCACTATCTTATATGTATGTGCTGCTGTAGCGGTCTATTAATTTAACAATATGATGCTCATTCACATACTTTTCCACATTGATTTCTCATACATTGTTATCATGCTTGTAGGACCGTATTCCAGCTGATGGAATCGTTAAAGCAGGCAGGAGCAGTGTTGACGAGTCAAGTTTTACAGGGGAGCCTCTACCTGTCACTAAATTACCCGGGGTAATGATATTTTCATACTTTTTTCCTTGCATTTTCTGTTTATAGTTTATACTATCATGGTGCAAAGAAGCGTTGAAGGGGTAGCCTCTTTGGCTATGTCTGGCATGAAGGAACTCTGTATGGAAGGTAAAGGTAGATGGAAAGAAAATCACTTGCCTTGTTTGCTCAAAGAAAGAGTGGTAAAAGTGTGTGTAAGGGAATCATTATCTAAGTTCAGAGGACATATAGGAAATTTTCCACAAATGCTTTGTTTAAACTTTTTTTTGGAACATGGGGTTTAATACTAGTTTTCTATGACCCTAAGGTAATAACTTTTATCCATCCCTCACTTATATCTCATAGAACAAACTTGGCCCACATACCAAATACCCCTTCTAAAGTTTGAACTCATTGAAAGTAAATTTGAATTTATGTTCTATCGTTTTATTTAATTTCATCCTTTTCCCCCTTCACTCACATGGTTCGGACCTGAGAATTGGGAGGGGCTGACCATCTCAATCGTTGTCAGCTTTGAACTTGTTGGGGATGTAATATGTTTTTTTCGGGAATTGCTATTTTAATCAACGATGCATTTTTTATAAGGCTGAAGTGGCAGCTGGAAGCATAAACCTAAATGGAAAAATCACAATCGAGGTGCGGAGGCCAGGTGGTGAGACTGCAATTGGGGACATTGTTCGGATGGTTGAAGATGCACAGACTAGGGAAGCTCCTGTACAACGGTTGGCTGACAAGGTTCATCACCTGGAACTTCCTCTTTATACTTTGATTATGATATATGCACCCTTACATTACTTACTCTATAAGCTCTATATGCTGAGAAGGCTGTAAGAAATTTCGCAAATCTGTGGAAATCGATCGTCTTTTCTTGGTTCTCAAATAAAATTAGGAATATTGTTAATATTTGCATATTATTAATTGTTATCCTTCGGTAGATACAACGTATAAGCTTCCCCACAAGATTAAAGAAAATCTCCACATCATATAGTGGAAGCTGTTTTGGTTGAGTTTATCTTCATTCATTTATGTTTAAGTTTTCATCCATTCTTTCCTTTTATTATGCATTCTTTATAACTTGTTTTTTAAAATGTGAGAAGATAGACAATTGTGGCGAATGTTATAATGATATATTGCCACATCAATTAATTGGGTATGCATATAATCTAACGAGTTGACTTTTTTAAAACCTAAACTTAATTCAATTCCTTTTTTAAAACGTTGGAATCTTTTTTAAAATTGTTGTGCATTTTATCCCAGTGAGGATATGGATGTGCTAATGTTACACCATTTACATCTTCTTTCAATGGTAGTCATCAGAGCTAATAAGATCCAGTCACGTAGATTTATTGTCAGGTCGTCAAGTTAATTGGTCTTTTTATTTTTTTCGTTTGTTCGACCAACCTGGCTGTGAATTGATCCATCTCATTTTTGTAACTATTATCTAGATTTCTGTTGGGTCAGATCATGTTGGAAATCTCTACCTCTCCTTGAATCAGCCCAACTACTACAATCACCCATCCGTGTCTGTCACTACCCATAAATTTGCTTTACGGCTTACAAACTTAAGTTATGCGGTGTGAAACCAAATCTTGCAACATGGAACTAAGAGAGTTGTGCCTATGATCCATTATCTTGTGCTCCAATTATCATGTTTGTGACCAACCAATTATTTTTTTTTATTTTACATTAGCTCATCATCATGCATGCAGTACAATTTACACTTTCTGTTATTCCAGTCACAGTAAATTAATGCTGCTATTTTTTGTTTAGGTTGCTGGTCATTTTACTTATGGGGTAATGGCCCTTTCCGCTGCCACATTTATGTTCTGGAATCTTTTTGGTTCACGAATTCTTCCAGCTGCTATTCACCAAGGAAGTTCGATGTCATTGGCGTTGCAACTTTCCTGTAGTGTTCTGGTACAGTATGCTACTCATCTTAAGCTTTGGCACTAAATTTTAAAGAGTATTTATCAGACTTCACATGCTTGCCAATGGGTAGATTGAGCCACCTCCAACTTAACCTCATATTACATTTTGCATTGACTAGAAAATTTAGTTTTTCCAGTGTTTCTGTACTTGTTGTAATCTCGATCTACTATTTGAAAAGATTTCCTTAAATTATCAATGTGTGAATTTGGTTCAACTCCGTTATTAAACTTGCTGATGTGAGCTATCTCCTTTTGCCGAGTGCAGGTTGTTGCATGTCCTTGTGCACTTGGGCTAGCAACACCTACAGCTGTGCTGGTAATATTTGTATATACATTTGATTCGTGTCGATGCTCACTGAATCTTAACTTTCTTGTACTGCTAGCTAAATATTAGTTGACATATTCAGGTCGGAACTTCACTTGGTGCCACAAGAGGACTGCTTTTGCGCGGTGGAAGTATCTTGGAAAAATTTTCAACAGTTAACACAATTGTATTTGACAAAACAGGGACATTAACGATTGGAAAACCTACTGTGACTAAAGTAGTGATACAAGGGGGGCAAAAATATGCAAATTCAGAGTTGAGTACAGATTTTTGCTATTTAATTATGCCATTTTGGTCAAATAATATTGAGCTACACTTTTAGTTACTTAAGTCCCACCTATATCTGACCTTAGTTTAAAAATCACCACAAAGTCGATCTCAGTGTAGTAGGTGATTCATATATATTCCACGTTCTAACTTTTGCTTGCAAATCTATAAGGATAGTAATTTCTACAGTTGTGCTGAGGAGTAATCATGAAATTCAAAGTTTGCTTGCTTTTGTCCTGTTACGCTCACCTCCTGTGCCTTTAATGGAGAAGCAGTTGCAATTATATGAGCACTACTATATAAGACAGAGCACAGGCCAATAAATTCAGTCCAGATTCTTTTTTATAAATTACTAGGAAATTTTGCCAGCAAGGAAATAGACTTTGGAGGAGAGTCATTACTCATTGCTCTTAAGAGGAATGTATTGGGATGACTAAATAGATGACTGCCTTGCAGTATCAAGCTCAACACCAGAGCTAATGATGTTACGGTTCCCAAAAGTGGTCAAGGATGGGAGTGCATAGTTGTGATCAAATGACTTGCTTTGTCATTTGACTGTAAGTGAACAGCGCCATCTGCTGAGGATGAACCTCACATACTGCTAGCACGATCTGGCAATAAATATATTTTTAATGTTGTTTTGTTTCATAGAACTGGTGGTCCTTTTATAGAGAGTCACACACAACCTTGAGTAGTTATGGAAACTATGGGATGGGCCGAGTAAACTGCCTCGGGGTTGGGAAATTAATAGATGAAGCTTTAATTCTCCAGCTGCTTGCTGTAATCGCTTCCTTCTCGTGCGGTTTGCAGCCTGGGTGGTATGGCTGAGCTAGAGTGGGCTCAGCGGTTGACTTATCTTTCTAGATGTATGACATGCATATTCTAAGTACACTATAGAATACTAGCTTTGATAGCTTGAAGTGTATTATTGCATTTTAATTGTGCCCATTTTAGTTACTAAAAGTAATTTATCTCCTTCAAGATAATAATGAACCTACTTCAATGCAGATTAGATTCAAATTCAAGACATAACTGGTCTGAAGTTGAAGTTCTGCAGTTAGCAGCTGGAGTAGAATCTAGTACAATTCATCCAATTGGAAAAGCAATTGTGAATGCTGCAAAGGCTCTGAATTGTCCAAATGTGAAGGTATATTATTTGTCTATTGGTGCTACTTTGAGATTATATCATGAAATCAGAAATATGAAGGTCTGATTGCAGTAATTTCAGGTTAAAATTAGATTCCACCTTGCTATAATTAAACAACAAAGTTGATTGATGCTTTTAAGGGGAACTTTTTCTGGTCTTCTACAGATAACATTTTTTGTCAACCCTTCATATACATAACGGACTTCTAATCAATTTTTGATACCCGTCATTTAATTTTTGAAATTAATTCCATATATTGTTAGCGAACATATTTAGATTTTTTAAGGATTCTACTTGTAGGTAACTGAAGGAACATTTACCGAGGAACCTGGGTCTGGCGCGGTAGCAACTGTTGATGAAAAAAAGGTAGCAGTTGGTACACTGGAGTGGGTTCAGAGGTAATTAATTTCAATATTCTTCATTATCTCTGGTGTCAAGTAAGCTTTAGCTAAAATTTCTCACCACTAGCTCTATAATTTTACTCATCAAGGTATTACAACCACTTAATTCTCATTCTTCATGGTATTTTTGCATTTTTTTTTCCTGAATCACTTAATCCATTGTTATATTTTGATGTTGAAAGGAGGATCCTGTACTCTTTGTTCCCAGTTTTCTAACAATACTTTATGTAACTAGTAGCATCTTAGATTTACCAAGCTCTTTGACTATGTTAACTTTCCGTGACATCATGTGTGAAATTTTGGATGTGAAATCTTATTAAAATGTATGTATACAAGTTCAATGCCCTTCTTGTAAGATGATCAGTTTTAGTACCATATATCACCAGATATTTGCAGCTTGGCCACTCCGTCAAAAGATTGACAGAAGCATGTTGTTAACTCTTTTTTTGGTGTTTCGCAAGCTTGGTGCCTTGATTTTGGAATTGCAATTTTCAGTTCCATGTATAACCACACACTTGCAAATACATTTACTTCATACATTTTTCTCAAAGTTTTTTTAAATATCAGCTTTCTTAACCCGTGCAGGCATGGGGTAGTCGGCGACAGTCCATTCCAAGAAGCTGAGGAGTTTAAGAATCAATCAGTTGTGTATGTTGGAGTTGATGGTGTTCTTGCCGGAGTAGTTTACGTTGAGGACCAAATCAGAGAAGATGCCAAGCATGTTATAGAATCATTGACTCGTCAAGGGATCAATACTTATTTGCTTTCTGGTGACAAGAAAAGTGCCGCCGAATATGTTGCATCTGCTGTTGGTATTCCGAGGGAAAGGGTGAGCATTTACATGACATAAATTTGCTAGCCACTTCCTGCTTACCTTGAATCGTCACTTAGTATTTCTGGCTAAGTTACTGTCCTCTGAGCTTGGATTAGTTTATTAGTTTCTCCAACTGGATGGGGGATCTTGATACCAACCACATGATAATAACTAATTATTTCTGCCAAGTTGGTTTTCACAGTTACCAAACGATTGGAATACTTGAATGCATAGGTTTGTGATAATCATGCATTGTTAAGATGGAGATATGGAAAATTTTGTACACATAGCTAGCAGTGAATCAGACAGAAACATTGGAAGTACACGAACTATAAAATTCTCAGATTCAAATGATAGACATTCTATCTTTAGTCTCTCCATTTTATAAGCAACCATATTAAATAGATGGTTGATTACAGGTGCTGCATGGAGTCAAACCTGATGAAAAGAAGAACTTCATAATCCGACTTCAGGATGGTCAGAACGTTGTAGCTATGGTTGGTGATGGAATCAATGATGCAGCTGCCCTGGCTTCGTCGCATGTAGGTATTGCCATTGGTGGAGGTGTTGGGGCTGCTAGTGAGGTATCTTCGATTGTTCTAATGCAGAACAGGTTGTCCCAGGTATTAAAGTTGCTCTGGCTTCATCTCAGAAATATTTTCCTTTAATATGTTCGAAATCTTGTCCTTCAATATGTTCAATTCTCTTAATTTTTCTTTTTCTTTTTTTCTTTTAATTAGTTTTGAATATATGTATCATAGTATATTGTGGGATTTGAGGCTCTAGTCTGCCATTTTGATAATATTCGCTTGCATACCTGTTATCAATACCAGTGAAGTAGACGCAGAAAAATGTGACTGCAGGAAGAAGATATAGTATTAGGCCTCGTTTGATTGCCAAGATAGGATTCGCTAAGATAAATTGACTAATCTAATGAAACTCAGTTGTATTATTGGACCATGGAAGGTCGAATAAACAAAAATCCTAAAAGGCAAGATAAGCCATGAATGATAACATAATATTTCCGGGGTCGACCTGGAAAGTTATTCGGTATACCAAATATCAAACAAAGTCCATATTATTTAGTTAATCGTGGCTAATCTCCCCAACCAAAAGAGGCCTTAGAAGATCAGTTAAATTACTATCGTGAACTACTAAACGAACGGCACTTTGATGATTCTAAGTAACCATTTACAGTTGGTGAATGTAGTAAGCTTAATGTGCATAAGAAGCAGATTTTGTGAACTATATCTATATATATGTGTTTATCTGTCTGTGCCTGCTCTTGACGGCCTTTGTCATGCAGTTACTCGACGCACTGGAGCTTAGTAGACTTACCATGAAGACCGTAAAGCAAAACCTATGGTGGGCCTTTGCATACAATATCGTAAGCTTTCTCCCCACTATGCAACTTCATATCTTCATTAAAGATGATTTATAATAATACCCTTTTTGTTTGTCTTTCCTAGGTCGGACTTCCAGTAGCAGCTGGAACATTGCTGCCTGTGACCGGAACCATGCTGTCACCTTCACTTGCCGGTGCACTAATGGGTTTCAGCTCTATTGGAGTAATGTCCAACTCATTACTTTTGAGACTCAAGTTTAAATCGATCGAGAAAGATATATTTAAAACATCACCATTGAACATCAAATCCCCTTCAGACGTTGAAAAAGATAGTGGGAGTGAAAGTGAGAAATTGCAGCAGCCATATTCACCTGCTAGATAACGCCTTGTCAGCATCAATATTATACGGCTGACTGAAATAATTTGTTCACGAGATTAACACGAGATGGTGGGTGAGGCAGAAACACGTAATCTTAGGCAGTGAGAAGAGAAACCGTTTGGTGTATCCGATTCCTCTAAATACTTTTGCTCGAATCTACCTAAAGTTCAAGAACATGATGAACATCAAACAACTTGTCGAATTTCCGCTGATGGATGAGAAGTTAGTCGAAATGGTTTTGTTATTGGCTTGTATGTACATTTGGAGTTGAATATTTTGCATTTATAATATTTTGCAATATAAGTCGTTTGACAGTTTGCTCATGGTGCATTTTGAAAAAGAATTTTTTGTATATATGTTTTTTTACTATTTTTATTATTTTGCCAAAAATTCTCGTCCACTATTAGGGAAATTAAGCGCAGTTGTTAAAAAAATAAATAAATCAAATTAATAAATTTCACATAAGAGATGGCATTATGCAAGAACAATGGACTGCTATCATGAATGAAGTACAAGCAGGTCAATTCTATCATCCTCAATTTCAATGCCCAGATATGTCAGAGTTGGTATACTAAAAACTTTTTAAAGAGGCTACATGCATCAAACAAGTCACCCGGAAGAAGAATTACACGGCCAAAAATCGCACTTCATATCAATGTGTTAATTACAATATTTCTGAACCACCTTTTTGTGATGATCAAATCACAAGCAGAGCAAAAACTGCTAAAAATTTCGAAATATAGCATCGAACGGGAGCTCTCAAAAGTCAGCTGAGGCTATCTATATAAAACCACGATAGTTTCGATTGGAATCTACACACTCAACTGCTGCAATGAACAGCAAACTTCAAACCATATAAGTCATTCCTACCTGTATCAAATGCGAGTGCGGAACACTCAGATTTGCAGTCCCCCTTCGGCAGTTCTTTCTTAAGAAAGCATAAAAATAGTTGATCACAAGCTTCTTAATAAACCAAGAGTCCTTCCTCGCCCTAATATCTCCATGACCAAGAAGATACACCACACCAGACTCTTTTGCCTTGCGTAAGAACGACAGCTCCTTCTCAAGGCTTTGCTCAGCATCAATACTAATTTGATCAGTAGAAGAAGAAGTCTCTAGCTTCCCTTCTTCTAACGCACGCGCTTCTGCACCAAAATTGCTCGTATCTTTGAACTCTGCCAGGAGAGGGACACCCAGTGAGTAAACACTCCCATTTGGAGCTATTAGTATTCTTGATAGAGAATGGTCTTCTTCGGACCCTGAATCGTCGTCACTATCACTCTCCAGGGACCTCTCCTGAGCTTCCCGCCGAATGAACTTGTCAAGACTCTCGATAAGCAACTGCTCGAAGGTCTGGTGGTTTTCTTTGCGAACATCTTTGTAGCCATACCTGTTAATGGCAGGAGTCAAAACAATAATCTATGAAGTAACGGAATCTTCTTTCTATCAGCCCCAAATACTTTAAGTGGCAGTATTCTATCGCAAAAGCATGTGTAACTAGATTTGAAAAATCGTATTATGATGCAGGACCATATCTTTTTTATCGAATCTAGCTATGATCGAAGTAGCCTACTATGTGGGGCCCAGAATAAAAAGCACTAGTCAACGAAGACCAACCCCATGGATACTGGCATCAGCGGTAATGCACGGAAGTCAAGAAAAACATCACAACAGACATGCTATTGAAATTTAAACTCAAGAAATCAAATGTAAATGTCCAGAGAATCCCAAATGCAAAAGAATGAAACCTTACTTAAGATAGGAATATTAAATTGGAATGAATTAAGATTATCCATACGCAAGATGAGGTACAACAAGCAAGTTTGGGGAGCGAAAAAAAAGGTAACAAATTTTACCTGGCAACACAACGAAATATGTGGTAGCTTTTGGCGCAGACTCGCCTAAACAGAAACCTTTCATTTTGAGGCACAACTGATACAGGAACATACTTTATACACACAAATATGATCATCGAATGCACAGCAGGTAGAGTAGTCAGGAAATGCCCAAATATAGCAGGTACACCCTTTGCCAACTCATTGTAAAGCAAGCCAATCCCAGGAGCCCTAACAGTTCCTAGGTCAGGACCTAGTTCCCGCAGCACATCCATCGACATCTTCTTTTTCACCTCTGTTTCATACTTTAACTTGCTTCCATAATTCCAGATGTACATAATTAGAAATATGACAACGGCAAACACCAGTATGATCCAACTTCCATCCCCCACACTCCACAGAACTGAAGAAAAGAAGGTTAACTCCAATCCCAAGAAAAGAATAGCAAAACTCAGCACAACAAAAATATTTATCTGCCATATCAGAAGCATCACGAGGGTGACTAAGATTGTAGTCATCATCATGACTCCCAGTTCAGCAATGGCTGTAATAGTATATATACGAGGTCAGTTGTAAGCATAAATGTAACGTTATTTTAGCACAGAATTATAGACAACCGTAAATCCAGGTAAATGAAACAAGCATAACAATAATCAAATAACTCAAATTTCGAACAGAAGCGATAAGAGACTTACCATATGCATTCCCAATTTCATAAATGCTTGAGATATTGCAGACCAACACCAGGGCCAGAGCCAGAAGAAACCAGTTCATCACTGGAATATAAATCTGGCCCATGAATTTCCTCGAGGTATGAATGATTTTAAGGCGAGGAAAGCAACCGAGTGCACTGGATTGTTTAATACAAGAGAAAGTTGCGGTCGTCATAGCTCTACTAGCAATCAGTGCAGCTACATTAGCTATGAGGAAGACAGGCCAGAAAGCTCCACCTGCAGCAGATTAAAGAGAACCACCCAAATATCACTTGCTGGTCAATTTAACTCATGCCTAGAAATGAATTATCAGCTCCTCAGTGTCATAACTTAAAACCTGGAACCTAGAATGTAACAATTATTATGACATGAACTAGCCATATCCATAGTAGATGATTAAGATCTGCTAACAGTCTTTCTAAAATACATCCACAACACATATATCAGGGTCGTAGTTTATTTACTTGGAACAGAAGAAAAGAAAGCCTGTGTAGTATCAACGTGGTTCTCCATAAGATATGCAGCTTGACCCAGGTAGCCCAAAAGAAGGCAAGGTAATACCAGGAACATGAATGTAAGCTGTCACAAGAAATTAAGTCCTTGGTAAGAAAATATTACATATCTAGGAAGAAAGAAAGTTTCTCTTTTATAACATTGAAACCAAAACCCAAATGGACGGGAAAACTGCAAACAGCTTAGTCCTTACCTGCACTGATCTTACAGAAAAATAGCAAAGATCTGCAAACATTGCCTCAGAACCTGAGTCATGTAACTGATCATCAGGAATTAATAAGAAGAAATGTTACAATGAGTAATAGAAATACAATCAGTTAGAGACATATTCACTTCTAATGAACTAGTCATACATAAGCAGTTCTATGCCATATCACAGATAAGCCAGCCCCTAGATTCAGTTTCGAAATTAAACAAATATATAGTATGGTATACATTTTATGGAATTCCGGCAACGACATAAAGCGTATTTCAGAAGTTACCTGTTGCACAAAGAAGACAACCCCCTAGAGAGTACCAAGCCTTGGTTGAATTGCGCTTGAAGTAATAATAGATATGAATTGGATTGAATGCCTGCAGAACTCTCGTATCATATTTGACAAGGTTGTATATGCCAATGCCCCCAAGAGAACAAAACCATATAAACAAAGCAGGACCAACTACAAGCCCCACTTTACTTGTTCCATACCTCTGTAGACTGAACAAAATTATAATAAACGCAATCGAGATCATCACCACGTGATCTGCACTTCATAAAACTGAACCTTGTAAGTGACCAGCTATGCTACACGGGTCGCACTAAATGCATGAGTATATGACTACTAATACTGCAAAATTATGGTCATTTTAAATAAAATGTAAGAAGCCAAGTTGTAATTGTATGTCATATTTCAGAACACATAACTGCAAAATTTTCAAGACAATGTGCTCTAGGTCAGGGAACCGTACGGCAACCACCTAACCATGAGGCTTTTGGTGTATACATCTTAAATGAACTATGGAAGGTATGTGAAAGATCCCATTGGGTTAACACCCAAAATTCATCAGCTGACATCTTCTCATCTTACAAGAAGTACACGGGGAGCATCATTTTCTGTCATAAATTGGCAATATAGCGACCAAATCAACAAAGTCTTATCTAATATTATGGAACATAAACAATATCAGAAATGATTTTCCTCATTAAATTTACAAAGGAGCCATCTCTAGAGTCAAATCACATGACTCAAATAATTGAATGGTATTGGATTCATTGTCCTAATATTTTAGACTGCTTTCAGTGTACAATTACTAGACCAGACTGTACTTTGTATCTTTGTACTTAAAAGTCAGGGTGGAATGAAGAAATTATGTTCTTCAGATACTCCTAACAAAACAACCACAGTCAATGACTAGGACTGTTTCTTGAATATACTAGCTTGCATTCATGATCTGAAATTCCTGCTACAAGATTTGAGAAGCTGAACAAAAAAAGTAGAATAAAATGATCAATCACCTTCACTAAACCCAGAGACTCCAATTTTTAAGCCACCGACAGCAGATATAACTGCACATATATAAATAGAATTCATTGTTAACTTCAAGCAGCAAACATAGAAAACAAATGAATATTGCTTTGAATTTCTTCCTTTCTATGAATAGCAAAATGCTAAATCCTCTAGGGAATAAAATGTACCAAGATGAATCTGCTAAAATCACCTGACATCGCAGGCGTAACAACACCATCAGCTATCACCATAGAAGTGCCAGCAAGAACCAACATTAGAAGAAGCTTTTTCAGTGTCAGAGAAGTTTCAAGCCTTTCCTTTATTTTCAAAGACCTCTCGAGTTCAGCTGATGGAACCTTCAACCTGAAGCTTGATATGCGAGCATCTGACGGTAATTGGTTGGGCAGAAGACTAACTTTAGCGTGCCTACAAATCAATGAGTACAGAGCAAATGTACCACCTGAAGAAAATGAACAAACACGAAGTCTACATCATCTAAACTGTGAATGGACATATGAATTACCTAATTGTAAATAAAATCATTGTGTAAGGCAAGTTCAAAATGCAATATACCTTCACCATCATCATTAGCCCAAAGAACAATAAGAACATACTTGATCAGTGATATCAGAATTAAGGTGTACAAAACTAGGGACAGTGCACCCAGAACATCTTCATTCCCCTTGACGGGTGCCTTGCTGAACATCACGCTGAAGGTATATAACGGACTAGTTCCCACATCGCCAAAAACGACTCCAAGTGTTTGAAAGACCAGTAAGATTCTCCTGCCCAAAGTGGCGTCCTGCAATTTTATTTTCAAAATCAAGATACCAAAATAATAGCCATTATTAATCATGAAATTGTCAATATCAAGTACAACTGCTATTTCTTTGGGAAGAGAAAAAGAATTTAGTTCTCAGAGTCGGACTTTATAAGAATTAATATATATTGTTGGAAATTTCAGGTTATCAATGCTTTTATTTCCATATTGTAAGGAAGATATTTGACTTATCATAAAAAGATCCGCAAGAATGTGACGATATATATATATATATATATATATATATATATATATATATATATATATATATATATATATATATATATATATATATATATATATATATATATATATATATATATATATATATATATATATATATATATATATATATATATATATATATATATATATATATATATATATATATATATATATATATATATATATATATATATATATATATATATATATATATATATATATATATATATATATATAGATATATATAGATATAGAGAGATAGAGAGAGAGAGAGACACAGTGAGAGGGATGGATGTAAGTGGGTTTTGATTTAAACTTAAATATAAGTCTAAGTCTGGTGGGTCTTTGGAGCGCCATAAGGTGTTGGTGGTTAAAAGTTTATCTCATGTAGCAAAGTAAGTTGAGTACAGT